AGTAATAAAAAATGATATGTTTTAGAATATTTTTTCAACCCACCGGGATCTGTAAGTGCTGTAAGGGACTTTCACTGAATAGCTATTTTGGATGTTTTTACTAGAAATTTTTAACATGATCTCTCCTAATCTGAAAACATTTTTTGTGTTAATGCTCACTCGTACGTATGTTTGGCTTTGTCAAAATGGATCTCAGTATTTTCTTACTGCTTCACACATCTACAAAGAAACTGACTGACTTCACAGCTCAAGTTCACTTAAAGATTCAATTGCTTTGTTCGCTTGAAGGGTTCACAATACTTGACCTTCTTCATTTTGCACGTACAACAAATACTCAACTCAATATATTGCGAACACAAACATATCTTCATAGGTATGTTATGTTATATTAATAAATGAATATAAATAATTGTTATTATAAAAAAAAACCAAAAAAAGTATTTTGAAAAAATTCATAAATTTAGATTTATACAGACATCATCTCATTTTTCAATAAATTAACGAACGTTTACCTCTCGGCAAACAAATAAAATTACTTAAAAATTTTTAGGAGGTGTCTAAGTACGTGATCACTGCCAAAGTTCAAAAACGGAGTATAATTGAAAAAAAATATCATTTATGTAAAAATCAAACTTTTGTGTTGATTTCATATAAAAAGTACAGACAATGTCGACTGCAATAATCACAAAAAAAAAAAAAAACAAAAAAAAACATAAAAACATGAGCTCTATAAAGCGATTTGAGTCCAAAACCACAAGAAAAAAATACTTAATTTGTCTAAATCAAGGGGCCCAGTCAATAATGATTGGTCAACTCTTTCTCACTTAGCCGTTTCTCTCTAGTTGTCTTTTTTTTGCATTTATTTGTTGAAATAATCGAGACGTGTTTGTTGCGAATTGAGGCGCTCAAATTTGTTGTTAATGTACAAAGCACGTTTGACGCTCAACGACAGACATACAATTGACGCGTTTTTCTATCTGACTCGACTGAGGTCAAATAACTATAGACCGTAAAAATATGCGAGACACGGTAAAGACTTTTATTTTAAAATGGCAGCTCAAAGAGTTATGCTAATATGACGGCACCAAAAACCGTCAACGAGGTCGTAAAATTCAAAATGTTTTAAAAACATTTAAAAATTAAGTACGAACAGAATGTACGAGTATTAAAAAAATAAAAATTTAACAAAAAACAAAAAACAAAAAAAAAAACAAATTCAAAGTCAAAAAAAAATTAAATTTACTTTAAGCCTCACCTTAACTTTGCTACAAAATAATAATAAAAACGTAAATAAGCATTTAAGTACGTTTTGGTCATACTGGCTTTATGAGATGACCAAAATGGTGTAAACAACCGACAGTTGGATATATGGAGAGATATACTCAGACAGACCCAGGCGAAAGAATGGAGTGACAAACAGACAGTCAAACAAACAGACAGACTCATCATGCATATTGACCGCTCAGACCTGAAATATTTAGTCAACATCAAATTGTTATTCCAAACGACAGACAGACACACAGACACACAGACAGACAGACAGACAGAGGGACGAGGTACTTAAACGAGGAAACTGTAGTCTTTTTTAAGCTTTTTGCTTTTTGCAACTCATCAACATTTAAATCACGTTGCGACATTTTGTCAATATCGCAGTCGATCATCAATGATTTTTTAATTGAATTCTACATCGAAAAAAATGAGCAACAGAAAAATATGTTTTTCGTTAAAGCGCAATTGACTACCTACAATTGCACCGAATAACATGAAAGCCACGTCTAAGCGAACATTAAGGGCCGATTTCACAGTCGTACGATAAGTTTCAAACCTGACTCAAGTATGAATTAAGTCGGAAAAATTACTCACTTAAGTGAGTTTTGGAACTTAATTACGATAATAACATAACATAAGTTTCAAACTTGACTTAGTTATAAATGAAGTCAGAAAAATGTATGACTTAATTTAATTTTATAACTTAATTGTGACAATAAAATCGGTTCTAAACACCTCTCTTCGCATTAAAAGACACCAAAAGATACTAATTTCCCTTAAGCCTATTCACACAGCATGAGTTAATTTTAATTAACTTTTGTTCTAGTTTGAATTTTTATTGTTATGCATGTGTTTGTTGTTTTCAAACCGATTTTAAAAACTGATTTGTGCTTCTAGTGCAAAATATTTTTCAGCACTATTTTGTTTCTATAAAATATACATTTCCTCAAACTAACATTTCTATGAAATTACTATCTATTAATTACTATAACTAGCAAACATTTAATATGAATTTCAATTTAAGCAAAATCAAATAATTGTGATTAACTTATGATATGTGAGTAGAATTTAAATCGTCTTAAATTAAATTTTAATATAAATGAATATAGTCAAGAATTGATATCTCTGTGACTGCCCCACTTTGCTTTGAGCCAAGCGAATACTGCTAGGACGGAAGTTCCTATTCTCGTGCGAAGTTAAGAGGTTCTCAACAGCTGACATTTTGGCTTTTATTCGAAAATGGAAATATCTGGCCGCAACGTTTTGCTCTTTGAAAGCCAGTATCTCATAGAATAAAAAAGTTTATTTTCTATTTTATTTATAGTAAGAATCCATTAGTGATCTAATGAGATAAGTTGAAATAAATTTCCTGCCTTTAATACACAAGAAGATCAAAATACCTCTATAATAATTGTATGTTGTTAGAATTATATAAGAAAAGCAATATCCCTTAATCAAACATCACGAGTTCGTTTATTGACATTAATCTAGATATCAACCAATTTCGTTTTTTAACATCAATCCAGATATCTTCTAACTTCGTTTATTGACATCGATCTAGACATTTTCTAACATCGTTTATTGACATCGATATAGACATCGTTTAGATTTATTTATTGGCATGAACCCACACATCGTTTATATATGTTAAGTTAAATTATTATATATTTACGGCCTTATTCATAAAAAGTTATAGTAGGTTTGTAATACATTTTATCAAAAATGTTATTCATAAACGTTATTTAACAGTGTTATAAAGCATTTATAAAACTCTATTCATAAACGTATTTTAAAGTTAAAATGCTGTTAAAATGCTGTTAAAATATGTCAAAATTTATAATAGGTTTATACCTTCTATAACAGCATTTTAAGCAAAATTTTTGATTGTGTAGTAATTTTTATTGGGTGAATTACAATTAAATATGGATGCCATAAGCATAATTAAAGAAATTGGCGAATATTTAATTTAATTTAAAAATATATAAACAACGTGGAGATCCGTTTATGCTGCGTGATGATGAATTTCAACTGAGGTACCGATTTTCAAAAAAGGGCGTAGAAAAAATAACTGACTTGGTGAAACAGGACTTAACGTTTGATAGTAGAGGCGCTGGAACTTCCGCAAGATTACAAGTTCTAGTAGCTTTGCGATGTTGGAGTCGTAGAGAAGTAACTAATCTTTTTCAAATACTATTACTTACTAGAAGCTTTTAATATAAAAGGTACAAGACGATGCAGGTGATTTACACGGCCTTAGCCTGGCTACAGTCAGTCGCATTTGCGTTAGAGTAGCTAGGGCTATTGCAAAACATGCCGCAACTGTGATTAAAATGCCAGAATCTGATAGAAGAGGAAGCAAATATGAAAAGCTTCAAACGCATAAAAATTTTTCCAAATGTGATTGGTGCAATTGATTGCACGCACATAAAAATTAAAAAAGTGGGTGGAGATATTTCCCAATATTATATAAATCGGAAAGGGTTTTATTCATTAAACGAACAAGTGCGTATTTTTAGTACCTTTAAAATATTTACTTACATTAAAAAACAAATTATATTTTGAAAGTGATATGTGATGCAAATTTAAAAATTTGCAATATAGTCGCAAGATGGAGAGGTAGTACGCACGACTGCCGGATTTTCGATGAGTCAATTCTTAAAGAACAGTTAGAGGCAGGAAAATTCAAAGGGCGCTTGGTTGGCGATTCAGGATACAAACTTCAACCATACCTATTCACTCCAATACTGAAACCACAAAACGCAAAAGAAGAACGATACAATGCTGCACACATTGCCACCAGAAATACAATTGAAAGATGCTTTGGTGTGTGGAAGCAAAGATTTCGTTGCCTTCTAGATGGGTTGAATATATCATTGGAGAATGCGAAAACAGTTATAGTCGCACTTGCAGTATTGCACAATCTTGCATTTACTTACAATGAAAATGACTCCAAAATACCTTATAATGACAATTTTTCTGCGGCTATCAACTTTAGTTCCTTATCTGACTGTGAAGAAATATGTGATGATAATTCAACAAATCGAAAGAAACCTAATGTTATATTAAAAACATTTATTGAAAAAAACTTTTGATGAAATTGCAAATTAAATAACGATTTATTAATCTTAAAAAATTTTTTAAATTTTTATTTTTGTGCTGCATTAATTCATATTTCTCACAGTGTTGTAAAATGTTTTGTGTTTAACAGCAATGTTATTAACATTTGTATTATAGTTATCAAAGGTTTATAATACGTTTATGAATAGTGTGCATTATAAGGCCATTATAAAGTTAAAATACATTTTAACTAAAATGTATTTAAAAAGCATTTTAAGAAATTTTTATGAATAAGGCCGTTATTGTTTATTATATGTTGAATTATTTAATTTTTTGAATTTTAAAAAAAATATTAGTTTAAAAAATTAACTACTCTAAATGGTTTAGGATAGTTATTATTGTCCTGACAATATCAAATAATCTTATTCGAATACTATTATACCCGAATATTTTAGGAAGTAGTAATTTTCGAAGTTATTACTATTGCTAATTGATTTCATTTTGTATGATTCTTAAGAAACATAAACTTCTTGTTTTGTATTATTAAATTTAAATAATTTTTATGTTCAATTAGTTAATTATTTAATTAATTTAATTTTATGTTTAATTTTTTTAAATCTATTTATTGTTCAAAAAATAAGTCAATCGAATTAATATTTTCATTCCTTTTTACAGGGTTGATACATACTACTTATTAATATGTGATGGAAAAGAACTGTTAATTTTAGGTAAGTTAAAATCACTATTATAAATTTAAATAAATCTTTTATTTTTGACAACTCGACAATATTTGCCAACTACAAATTTACTAGAAATCAGTTCCTATAATACAAGCTTGATTATCTCTAACCAGAGATCGTCTATATGCTATGATTATCATGCACGTAATCTTTTTAAAAATTAAAGGACTTCTTTAAAACAGATATTTTTAATAAGGACATCTATTGTATGCAAAATCCATTTTATGAGATTTGGTTTGTTAGTTGGTTTTTGTGACAGTGGAACTTCCTTTCCAGTCTTCACCGGTAGTGTATAAGCGTCATTGGATTACGATTAACCCGGTCATAAAGTTCTAAGTTTTACTTATATTTTCACTTTAGATATTTGTTTTAAATTATTTCAACAAAAAAGTAAAATTATGATTGATACAGAATTGAGCATCCAACAAAGAATTAATAATATATATTGTTTTCAAGATGATAAATATATTAATGATATGGTCTCATTGAAGAACGCAGTTTATGACGGCAGAATTCATCAACAGTATATATGGCTTTCAGACAGATGTGAGACAATAAAGGACAAAAATAATTTTTTTGACCAGTAAAAATCTGTGATCATCAAGTTTCTATCTGTTTTAAGTCTATATACTAAATAATCATAAATGGTGATATGTTATAATATTCAGTAAACATATATGGCCTTATTCATAAAAATTTCTTAAAATGCTTTTTAAATACATTTTAGTTAAAATGTATTTTAACTTTATAATGGCCTTATAATGCACACTATTCATAAACGTATTATAAACCTTTGATAACTATAATACAAATGTTAATAACATTACTGTTAAACACAAAACATTTTACAACACTGTGAGAAATATGAATTAATGCAGCACAAAAATAAAAATTAAAAGATTTGTTTATAATTAATAAATCGTTATTTAATTTGCAATTTCATTAAAAGTTTTTTTCAATAAATGTTTTTAATATAACATTAGGTTTCTTTCGATTTGTTGAAATATCATCACATATTTCTTCACAGTCAGATAAGGAACTAAAGTTGATGGCCGCAGAAAAATTGTCATTATAAGGTATTTTGGAGTCATTTTCATTGTAAGTAATTGCAAGATTGTGCAATACTGCAAGTGCGAGTATAACTGTTTTCGCATTCTCCAATGATATATTCAACCCATCTAGAAGACAACGAAATCTTTGCTTCCACACACCAAAGCATCTTTCAATTGTATTTCTGGTGGCAATGTGTGCAGCATTGTATCGTTCTTCTTTTGCGTTTTGTGGTTTCAGTATTGGAGTGAATAAGTATGGTTGAAGTTTGTATCCTGAAAAAGATTAGTTACTTCTCTACGACTCCAACATCGCAAAGCTACTAGAACTTGTAATCTTGCGGAAGTTCCAGCGCCTCTACTATCAAACTTTAAGTTCTGTTTCACCAAGTCAATTATTTTTTCTACGCCCTTTTTTGAAAATCGGTACCTCAGTTGAAATTCATCATCCCGCAGCATAAACGGATCTCCACGTTGTTTATATATTTTTAAATGGCGACAATTTTTTTTGGCTATTCCATTTAAAAAATCTACACAATAATTTCGTTTTTAATTATATAAAAAAATAAAAAAATTATATAATTATATAAAATTATATTAAAAATTAAATTAAATACTCATCAATTTCTTTAATTATGCTTATGGCATCCATATTTAATTGTAATTCACCCAATAAAAATTACTACACAATCAAAAATTGTGCTTAAAATGTTGTTATAGAAGGTATAAACCTATTATAAATTTTGACATATTTTAACACCATTTTAACAGCATTTTAACTTTAAAATACGTTTATGAATACAGTTTTATAAATGCTTTATAACACTGTTAAATAACGTTTATGAATAACATTTTCGATAAAATGTATTACAAACCTACTATAACTTTTTATGAATAAGGCCGATATAGTTTGTATGTATATATAACGCAAATTAAAGATATATATATCGGATTTTATGGAACACAGTAATTGAAATGAAAATTAAAAAACTTCATTACTGTTGATTGATTGCAGTGACAAGTGATAACTTCCATTAACATCAATTAGCGATTTTGCACTGTTTTGATACCAAATTCCTCATAAGAACCACTAAGATAGAAGAAGATTATTATTATTATTATTATTATTATTAGTAACCCATCACTGTTATTATTAGTGGTTTTTAGAACCCACATCGATCCAAATTTTCAGAAGTTTTTATTTTAAACAATCACAGTCTTTGGTTTTAACTTTCTAATGCCTCTTCAAGAGTATATATTAACCGCAACTTCATACATCCTCATAAAGGTCTTCCAAACTGCTTTGCTATTAATATTTTTTTGTTATTGTTATCTATGTCTCAACGAAAAATATGTGTTTCTGTCACTACATATATATATGGTACATATACATTAGTGACTTCTTGATCCAAGTAATATAAAAAAATTGTGTTGAAAGGTGGAGTTCAATATTTATAAAATGTGTAAAATCTAATAATAATCTAATAAAATCTAGTAATAAGATATTAAATTCAATATTAATCCAATATCTTAACTAAAATTTAGATATACCACACACAAAAAAAATATTTAGTCAAAAAAAAAAATATTTTATGTGCCGAGATGTTTTTATCGGGTCCATCCTTTACATTCCGTTTGAAAATAGAACCTGATTTCTGTTTTTAATTTAACAAATAGAACTTTTCTTTTAGATTTAAGCTAAATTATTATTTCCATTAATATTAGCATATCAGAGTTCGGTTACTTAAAGCGAACACTGTAACACCTCTTTCAAATAATTGGTTCTACACACAAAATTTATTCTGTTTTTTTTTTGCATGCAATACTTAATCATAAATAATACAAAAATTATCAAAATTAAAAAAAATTAAAACCAAAAAAAAAAAAAAGATTCAAAAGAATAACATAAATAATAATAATAAATAAAAAAAGTCACTGTTCGCTAAAAACCTTGTGGAATGCGATTTTGGTCTTGGACTTGGCCAGTAAGCATTGCTGAAATGTCTTATGTATCTTACGCCTTGAATGGTAAATGACGTGCGCTTAAAATGCGACCATATAAACCCGTCAGTACGCAGATAAGCTAACAAACAAACAAATATCCACAAAGTAACAAAATAAATAAGCAAATAAAGAGAATCAACACATAAAAACTAAACATACTAACGAACTAATAAACGGTCGTATAAACGGTCAATCAAGCCCAACCAAACCAAAACAAACTTCATCCAACCGAACCATACCGAAATGAACTATTCAACCAATGAGCTCAGAACGCTCATGCGAGTAATACTCGTAGCTATAGTCGTCACCGTTTTGAATCAGTGGCAAGTGTTTCTCAGATGGTCATTTTAATGGTTGATTATAGTAAAATTGGTTAGCTCCATACAATAATTATAATGCTCAGAATCATGATCAGTCAGTGAGTCAGTTAGTCAGTCAGTGAGTCATTTAATTTGTCAGTCAGTTCTTCTGCAGTCAAGTGCGAGTTAATTACACTATTAATATGTCAGCAATAATCAGCATTTGGGCGCTACAATCAAAAATGCGGCAATAAAATAAAAGGTGTGGTGTCATTTTTAACATATTTTTTTAATAATATAATAAACTAAAAATAAATATAGCATATATTGCACTATTTTTGTATTGTTTTTAATTATATTTACTTAGTTCCAAAATAATACCACTGGAATTATTAAAGTCTATGGATCGAATTACTACACTTTCCATATACCTGAGAAATTAAAAGAACTAATATCCATCGGTTTTTCTTCACATTTTCATATAAAATTTAATACATAACCTAGCATTTCTATTAGTTTAATTTGAAATATATATTAATAAATAACAGTTCACATAAAATAAAAACATATCAAGGTTATTACTGACTGTAGTCACTGGTAACAAAGGTTTTTAAACAAGGCTATAAATTGTTTAATATCTAAAATTTAGTTAAAGTTGAAATAAAAATCGCTTAAACTCTGTAATTAACTAACCATGTCAAGAAAAAGGTCAAGCTGTTGTTCAAAAAAATTATGTCCAAAAAATGTTTGGACAATTTCAAAAATTAAATAATATTTGATTATTTTCTTTTTCCTTTCAGTCTTCCAATATAGGATTAATGCCTGTCTTAATCCACGCAACATCAATCTTATATAATACCATTTTCATTAGTAAGTGTCATAACTACTAATGACCAACGTTTTTTTTTTAAACATAGAGTCCATCCAGAAAATTTGAACTGAAATTCTGAAAAACTTTCACCAAAAGCCTTAAAATGCCATAAATCTAATTTTTTGTTTGTCGAGATATAAAGTCACCTAAGAATTATTGCGGAATTATTGACCGGTCACTGTAGATTGAATAATTACCTATCAAAGTTAGGAATTCAATCTAACTCAGACTGCAGATACTGTAGAGAAGAAAGAGAAACTACATACCAAGTGGTTGGGGAGTGCCCGGCATGGATGCACAAGCTAAAGAAATATCTAGTAGGGTATTTAATGTTATCATAAGGATCCAAGACTAGAAAAGATAGAATCTATACTGTATTTTATTAAAGAAATCGGCCTTGGAGAAACACTCTAATCTGGCTAAGTAACACAATAGATCTATTAGGTCGCAGTGCACCATCAATAATAATAATAATAAAGTCATTTGGTAATAATAATGCAGGGTTTACCACTCTAAGTCATGTTAATACTAACAGCAATACATGTACACCTATGTATTCTGAATAATTTTGAGAATAAATGCTGCATTTACAATTGCAGTTCCAAGAAATAATATAGCATAATGTTTCATATAGAATAGTAGTTTCTGATGTGGAATACACATTTTTCTCAGCATAATGCTCCACATTATAATCAGGAAATTATTAATTACTCTATATATTCTTATTTAATTCAACTGATTTCATATTTCAAACTATCTCCAAATAATTTACTTAACTCAAAGTGGTAATATCTTAACAGTTATCACAATTCCAGCATATATTTCTTCCTTGTTTACAAGTTATATTAATGAATATCAACCTGATACTAGGTTAAACAGTCATATATATAGATTTATCATATGTGTTGTAACAAAAGTGCTCACTTAGTCTATAAAAGTGCTGTTTTTAACCATTTTTTTAATTCCAATATTTCAGTTATTAAATTTTTTGTTTGACTCCCAATTAATATAAGCTTTATTCTCAGTTTCGATAATAGATCGATGTGTTTTTTAGGACAGACTTTGAACATTTGTCAGTGTAACTAAAATCAGATATTCACAAATTCGGTTTTAAGTGCCAATATATACCAAATAATCAGAGTTTTGTATCCTTTTTGTAAATATGTATATACTTTAAAAAATAAGATAATACCTTATATATATAGAAACCAATTTTATACAAATCCAGATGTATCGTGATCTGAGACATTTACTGTGTCTCAGCTTACTGTGAGACATTTTATTTATTACTGTTAATATAACAGACAATAATGATGGCTATTTGTTAAAATTAATGATAACGTAATGATGAAAAGTGATTTTGGTCTGTTGATTTTTTTTAAAGCAATAAAGAGAACTATAATTTTGAGGTTTATTTTCCATTACTTTTTTGAATATGAAAGATTGTCGTCCCACGAATAGTACAGTCACTAATTTTTGTCAAATTTGGAACCGTAGTTGATGTGACATCTACATTAACGACTTTAAATACTATACTTACGATAAATGATCGATTCTAGGGAATTACGCTACAGTTCCATTTTTTAAAACAATATATGTACATAGTTATGGGAAAGTTTCTTTAATAATTCATTCTCATCCATCCAAGACACGTACACATGTAAAAAAAATCTTAGCTTTGTTCGAAGTAACATTTACGGTCACATTTCGAGTTTTGCTATTTTCTTTTTGTCATTGGTCCAAAAAGAAATTACACCTTCCTTGTATATTAAAAACTGTTCACCAGTTACTTGTCACGCATAAATACGTCAGTTCTCAATATATGTCCTAAATGCAGCTCTACTCCTCATGATGTCGACTATCTATTGTTATCTATGCCCCAAAGCGCACACTTACTTGACCTCTTTAGATTTTTGGTTTCGAGTCATTGAAGTGGTAAAGTTTCTCCGGTTTGACCCAATTGAGTTTATATTATTTTTTTCCCACACCCCTCATCCATTACTTATACTAAACACTTTTACTTTTTCCCACATATCTCCTTCCTTAAACATATTCTAACCTATGTATTCGTATTGTAGATCTCCTCGGGTCACAACAGGCACCTATATAAAAACTTTACCAACCATATCTTTGCATTGCGAAAAACTTATCAATACAAATTAAAACAATATCTTTCATTATAATAGTACACTAAGTACGATATACAATAGTATAGTATAGTATACATAGTATATATACTAATATATATATTATATGTATAATATGTGTTATATATATAATATATATATTATATACATATAGCATATAATATTATTATAATCTTATATTATTATTATTATTATGATAATAATATTATATCAATAATATAATATAGTATATAGTATAGTATACTACATTACACTATAGTATACTTAGTATAATACAGGCCCCATTTATTACAATATATAATTATGACAATCAATAAATAAATGTAAATTATAAGAAAGATTATGTTACATGCTACATCGATACAACACCAAGTTAAGGAAGCTGGATCAGATCTGGAAATATAATAAGCAATGAATAAAACAAAAGCTCTTGTAAAATATCACTTATATCTTTGCCTTTTCTTCTTTTGCTCTTATTCTAATTCAGTTCTGATCTTGTTAACATCTGCCATTAGTTTTTTAACCTTTAAACTGGTCGTAACATATTTCAGTTTAAGGGTAGCAATGCGGTTTTTCGTATATGCATCCATATCGTCTGTGTTTCGCATAACATGTTTAAATTCAGTTTTCACTGAATTTGTATTCTCATCAAAAGCCTTAAATACCGCTGCTATATTTTCTTGACCTTGCACTGAAAAATTCGGAAAGAACTTAGTACACATACATATAATACAAATGAATTTTATCATACGATATGATTTCGCAATTTTTATCAAAGGATGATTCAAATCACATTGAGAAATTTCTTCAAGATCCTCTTCTCCGAAACGATATATATTATGGTCTTCACCAGAGACTGCTGGTGGGGGTAAAGATTTTAAAGTATTTATTTTGCCAACATGTTCCTTTGTTTTTGTATTTGTCGGTTTTGGTTTTAGTTCAGTTTTTGCAATTTTTTTTAAACCAATATTAATAACTTTCTTCAAATTATCCTTACATCCAAACACTTTATTCTCTTCTAGCTTGGTTTTCTTTCCAAGGTGTAATTCACGCCGCTTGTCAAAGGGACTTAAACCCTTGTTGACAACAAACTCACTTCTGTGGATATCATTAACATCATCAATTTTGCGTTTTTTAACAAATTTCTTTTGAATAGGTGGTTTTCTGTAAAATAAATATGTAATAAATAAAGACACTAAATTGATACTAAAATACTCACACATTGTGGTTACACTCCGACTTTTTGTTGACCATATTGCCTGCCATTTTACTTATCTCTGCTTTACGAACGTCACCTGACTTCTCAGAGCCCTCAGTATATAAAATTTTCAATTATAAAAATATTGCACTAAAAAATATATTTGTTAATATATATTTTTAATTTATTATATGTTTTATTTTTTTTTATATATATTTTATAAAAATATATGTGGAAAGATAATTTTTAAAACAGTTTTGAAAGAAAATGTATGTACATTTATCATTATAAATTTTCCTTGGCATTTATTAATTGTCAGAGCTTACTTTATTATAAACTTATTTAAGTATATTCTTCTCAGAAGCAAAACTTTTCTATCTAAATATAATACTTTGTACTATTAGTTTTACTAGAAAAAGGAAAAAAACTTTTACAGTTTAAGTTTATCCTAAAAACAGGGGTCTAGGTGTTCCAACATTCTGTTCTTCCACTAAAGAATATACTTGTTAAATGGATTACAAAATTTAGTTCTTTTTGTATAAATAAGATAAAAACAAAAAATTTATTTTTTTAGACAAATATATATATTTGACAGAAGATTATGACTAAAATTACTCCTTTTTGTTTAAACACAACTAGTCAATAAATACAATTTTATGAATTTAGGTATTTTTATATAATGATAGAATAGGACACGCTTTCACTCAAGAGACGTGATCTAAGAATTCTAAGCAGAGCTATTACAGAATGTTATAGCTGCATGTACTTCAAATTAGACGAATATAGGTGTTGCTGTGAAGAGAAAGATTGATTGCCGTATTACTACGACTTTAGTAAGCTCAGGTCAGTCGTCAATGGCCGAATGTCCTTTAATAAAATGGTTTACTAATTTGACATATATATTATGTGGGTGTGAGAGTAGAACGATATTAAAGAAAACTGTATCGAAGATGATGCAGGAACTATTAACGAAGTGGTTGGAGTGCTTGAAAGAACTATCTTTCAAAGTACAACGATATAGAAGGCAACTGTCTCGAGGATGAACTAGAAACTCAAGTTCTCTCACATGTATATCTTACATATATCTTCTGGATGCCACAGTGCAACGATATAGAAGGCAATTGTGTCGAAGATGAAGTAGGATTAACTAAGCGTGCTTAAAGGAACTTTTTCTCAAGTTCTCTCATAGGTATATAAACATATATCTGACATATATTATCTGAATGTCAGAGTACAACGAAATAGAAGGAAACTGTTTCGAAAATAAAAAAAGAACTATTAAGAGTGCTTAAAGGAACTTTTTCTCAAGTTTTCTCACATGTATATCTCACATATATTATTTGGATGCCAGAGTACAACGATATAGAAGAAAGCTGTGTCGAAATTGAGCTAGAAACTCAAGTCCTTTCACATGTATATTTCACATATATTATCTGAATGCAAGAGTACAACGATAGAGGAAGCAATTGTGTCGAAGATGAAGTAGGATTAACTAAGCGTGCTTAAAGGAACTTCTTCTCAAGTCCTCACATATATAAACATATATTTCACATATATTATCTGTATGTCAGAGTACAACGATATAGAAGGAAACTGTTTCGAAAATAAAAAAAAGAACTATTAAGAGTGCTTAATAGTCTCTCAAGTGCTCAAGTTCTCTCAGAAAAAAATGAGAATTTCAGTGACCTCTCAACTTTCAGTCAAAACATAATTCTTAATAAAATGGATAACATTTTATATTATCTGTAGATTTACCAAAGCTACATCTGTTTATTATATGCACACGATAATTCAAGGAAGGTAGAACGATTTTGCAGTCCTACTAGTATTTGGCCTAAGTGCAGCGGCTGCTGACTTTGTAAATTGGTGGCCTCATATAACCTACCTATATACCGAAACAGATTAAGGATTTAGTTTCTATAAATTTTATGTTTAAGATATCATATGTTATATGTACTCGCATTTGAATATTTGATAAACGAATTTAATTTTAAGCATTACTTATTTGTATGGATACTCTCGTATTTATACACTATTTTTATTTGGAAATAATAATAAAAAGTATTGCAGAGCTAAATGAAAATAATTTACAAGTACAGAGAGTCATAGCAACAAATGGTCATAAAAAAGGTGCGTACGGATACAATTTTACAACATAAAATTTGCATAATAACTGCGCGTGCATACGTTTTGCATACAAAACAATCACAGATGCTGAGTTAGTGTGCATCAACATTTGTAGTTTGTAAGTCACTAAAAGTGCTATGGCATCAGATACAATCTAGGCTAGTACAGTATAAATTGATACACATCGAATCAATTCAATAACTATGCAAATTATACGTCAACGAATCAGTAGACATCAAGAATCGAGATATCCGAAAATATATTCAACAAATTTACATGGAGCAAATTTCAATGGAGCATCACAGCAGTGCATTTAAGGCGCAACAAATATCTCAAAGTGTCTAGTATTAGTAGATTTGATTACTTTCAAATAATGCCATTATATAATTTCTAACAAAATAATATTGTATCTCTGGTACTCAACAATACTAATACACACGCTAACCAATCCAATATGTGGATTTTTTATATTTGGAGAAAAATATAGAATGCAAACTAATAAAGAAGCTTAAATTACTTTTGATATTAATAGGAAATGTATCGGGTTTAATACTTAATTAACATATAAATGACGAAAAGTTCTGTGTCAAACGCTGGAGTACTGCAACAAAGTGTTCAATGACAAATTAAAATGAAATTAAGGTGACTAACTATGCAAATGTGACCAGCTTAATTGCTTCAGGTGAATCATTCACCATAGTAACTGCAATTCTTCTACTATTAGTGATCCAAGTACAGAAATGATTTGACATTTGCGAAATATTTGAAAAAAAAAAAAATAAAACACAGAAATGTCATTATACGTTACATTTTTTACTCAGACGAAAAGATGGCCCCTCTACCACATTACTTTGAATCTTAAACTTTTAAAGAAAGACAAAGTAAATTACTAAACATAGAATTTTCACATAAAACCAAAAAAAAAAATACAACTTCATATCAATGTAAATAAATTCAAGTACTTAGTACATAGATATATTACTCAGAAGTAATATATATCTGCATAATTAATAATGCAAATATATTTATATATACCATATTACACACATAATGTTTTTTCTGTCGTAGTGAAGAGGTGGAAAGCTTTAAGCACCGTCGTCGCAATGGTGTTCCATAACATCAATATGTAGTATACGCACTAAAAGACCTCAGCTTATTTCCCTTCGGAACTAATTTCGCATAACTTCGAGAAGGGTCTCTTTTATGCGCTACTCTTGTGATTATAGAGCTGCGTCCAGACCTCAACTTTTTCACCGCATTTTCTTGGTATCTGCACTATTTATTAGCCTAGTTTTTGGTTCTCTTTTTTAGCTCTTATTTTTTTTGCTTTGAGGACTTGAATCACATATGACGGTATCGTTTGGCAGCTCCTGGAATTTATTGGTCCAATCTGTGCTTCCAAGCGTAAGCCATTATTACAGTAAAAGAAGGTGTGCTCTAGGTCATCACAGTCTTTGACGCTATAAATACAGTCGAGTAAATCTGCTTATTCAAGGTACTTACAAAACCACCCCATTTCCGGTTAGCATCCGAGTGAGATAGTGATTTGCGACTCCGGATTTTTATTTGGCCAGGTAATTATATTTGGTATCTTTATTGTCAGATTTCGAGGGTTGCTCCTCCTGATCTTCTCTTGCCATTTGTTGAGTATAGTAGCCGTTTATATTCTTGTATATATTATATTGATATATAACATCTATATGTATACATAATATATTTATTTATATATAATATGTTTTTATATACTGTATATACTTATAAACTGTACTTGAACTTGTTTTAGGCGCCTTAGGTGCTTGAACATATAACCGATATTCGAACATTAAAATGTTCGAAATTTCGAAAAGTTCTAATAATATTTGTATGAAGACATTGAAGAAGACATTAATATCTGTATTCAGTAAGTTATGTTAGCAAGATCATTAAATTAATGGTATAGACCAGGGCTGTCCAAAGCAGATGCGATCGCGGGCCAATGCAAATCACTGCACACATTGAAGGACCGCAGAAACAAATATATACGTTCACAGTTGTTTTCGACAAAAATAAATATACGATCAAAATGTTAAATTTAGTTTTATTAATTTATCAATTTAAATTCATTTATTTGGTACATATACAATGAAAATAAAATAATGTACTTTTACCAGTACATCAAAAGTGAATTTGTGTATTTGTGGTGGAGTGAAAAGATGTCGCGGGCCTTACAAAGATTAGCCGAGGCCCCATATAGCCCGCGGGCCGTGCTTTGAATAGCTCTGGTATAGAGTATTTCACATAGACATATAGACGTAAATTTAAATGTTAACAGTAATTAATAGTAATTATTTAGTAGATATGCAGAAAAAAATAATGTTTATTATTTAAAGTCACCTTATGCAGATTCGAAATGCGCCACTGTACAGCAACTCAGCAATCTAAAGCTATTGACAATGATTGCATTACAATTTGTGACAAATTCATGATTATCTTGCGATTATGATGATTGCTCAAGGCAGCGCAGTAGCAGCAGCCATAAGTCTTTCATAGCCTTTCGTACGTTCGTACGTGCTCCGCACTATTGACAATGACAAATTCCTCTGGAGACAATTTGTAGCAACACGTGTTCATCTCACATCTCCCAATACGAAACCGAAACCGAAACCGAAAATGCCAATGATCACTGTCAGCAGCAAAATCTGTGCGCCGACATTAGCGTAGATGTCAGCTATATTCTGTTTGCTCAGTTGACAATTTGCATTTAAAATGAGCAAACAAAAAAAAAAATAAAAAATAAAAAAAGAAACATAAAACAGTAAACAGTGTTGGGTTAAGGAACTGCCTGGGGCAATTTGGGGAGTGTAGAGCTTTCAATCAGGCGTAGTCACAAAAGATGCAATACTCGCAACAAATTTGCATATCAACAGACGAACGGCGGAGTTGTAGTGAGTGAGCCATAAGCCATAAGCCGTAAGCCATAAGGCATATGCCATAAGCCACGGGCATCGAGCCACTTGCAAATACTAGATATGAGTAGAGTCGTGTGCAAAGAATGCAATAGTGCATTTTG